CCCGATAAGATATCGGGCGGATTTGTATCGGTTTAGCTCTTATCGGGCGGTTTATCGGCCTAACATACATATTCACTAAATATCTCCCCTTCTACTGACTTCTTCAGCTATAATATGTATTGAAAAACTGAATCTTTGTTAGAAGTCAGTTATATGGATTGTTTTTCTTTGTTCTTGCAAAGCTAATTTGTTCGAAAGTTTCATCTTTTTTGGGTGCTTTTGATTCCAAGTCTGTCATTTGTCATTTCTGGTGAATTCAATTCTACTGACTTCATTAGTTGTAATATGTATTGAAAAATTGAATCTTTGTAAGAAGTCACTTAAGTGTGCAGTAAGTATTAATAGTTGATCCTGTTATATAGTTGCATTAATGAATAAACAAGTCCACAACAATACAAAGTATTAATAGTAAACAGTGTTGGATAAAACTCAGAAAACACTGCTTCAGAATGCTAAACAAATAAAGAAAGTCAAAAGATAGTGTTAATAGACAGTGCAGAATGCCCGTTGTTGGTGTTCTATCATAGTTGAAGCAAGCTTCTCGTCTTATTCATTTTTAAGGGTTTTAGTTTTTTTATATTTAATATATATAAATAAAAATAAATTTATATATATTTATATTCTTAACGGGTTAACGGATTATCCGTTAAGAAAATTGAATAATCCGCCCCCAAACCGATAAGCCGTTAATAAAAAAAATTCAATCCGTTCCCCGTCCGTTAAGCCGTTAAGCCGTTACCAGTAAGCCAGTAAGCTTCGGTTCGGATCGGTTTTCGGTTTCGGATCGGTTTTGAACACCCCTACAACTTTGGTCGGTTTTTATTTTTAAAAAAATGTAAAATATTTTATTTTCTTTTTCCGTCCATGCTGGACGGTTTTTGATCGCTTTTTTTGGCCGACCAACGTTGGTCGGTACGGATTGCTCGATTTTTAGCGGATTTCTAGTAGTGTATTTACATGCCCGAACCACCTCAACCTCATTTCTCGCATCATATCTACCACAGAGGCCACTCCCACCCTCATTTAAAAAGGTGCACTCATTAACCATCGTATCAATATGATAGTTTGAGCTTGAGTGCACATATGTATATATACTTAAATATTTTAAAAAAACTATGATATTAATTCACATGTTCTAGCTGAGAGGAGGGCATGTATTCACGTAAATCCGAAACCCCAAATACGCCACTGCATATGGACCACCCGCATGTGTAAATTTGTGGCATCTGACCAAGATAAGTGCCACATCGCGGAATTCAAAGATGAGGAAGTTACGAAGTAACAATCAACAACGTCACTATACCTATCACTCACCCAACAAGGCAACTTATAGACCTAAAACGAACTAACATGGCTATGCCATTCACTTGAACCCTACCAAACAGAATAAAAATGACACTCACGTTAGTTTTGTCCCGTAGGTTTGCCCTAAAGTAGTATTCACATTTTCACTCACAATCCATTCGATGATTCTGTATTCCCATTTTCATTTCCTTAATCTAAAGCTACAATTCGTTACAACCGGCTTGAAAGAGAATCAGAATTCGGGGTGCTTTTTGAGGAAGCAAAAAATGAAGCCATGTGAAGATGTGACGATCACTTTGTTTCTTTTCCATTTGAGAAGTTTAAAGCACAAATCCAAGGCCTTTCATTTGAGGGCCAGAGGCATGTGTCGAGTTTGTCATGTGGACGAGTGGCGGTCTACGATTTGCCGTGTCAGCAGGGGTGGATTTTCCTTTGAATGTGTTGTCACGATCTCTTCTAAATATTGGTTTGTGAAGTCACGGCGAGGTTTGCGGCCAAGAAATATTGTAATATTGAGGGAATTGAGGAAGAGTTTTGATTTGTTAGGCATTTTTAGATTGAGGTAGCTATCACCAATGAGTTGGGGTGAAGTGATAAGTACTACTTTATTCTTAACGAGAGATGTACGGTTTGAGCTTTTGGTATGAGGCTGCCTTTATTAGATAACAATTTACCCTAACGTGGAATTTTTTAGCACAAATCAAGATTTAATCATACCTCAATACAGGTATCGAATACCAGACATAATTTACTAAAAGAAGAAGAAGTTGGGGGTAGCTAACTAGAGTTGGGACCCCATTTTGGACCATCGAACTTTGAATTATAGAGATCAAACGCATGTGCTAGCTAGTGTCATGTATGATCGTCTAAGGTGTCTTTTTCTTAGCGATTAATGAAGCGAGAATGGATAAGACTTTTAAGTGATTTTATTAGTAACTAACAGCTAACTCGCACTTTATGGTGATGAGATTTAAAAGTCTTTTTTCTTACTAATGAGGTGGGGGATCTTGTTTTTTCCCACCACGAATGAGGTGGGGATTTAATTCCTAAAAGTTTGAACTAGATTAATAAATGGAAATGAATATGATACATTGTGAAATTTTAAAATTCAAACAAGCCAATGATGTTTTAATATCCACTGTCTCTCAAGTAGGTAGATTTTATTTAAGACTTACAAACCTAACTCAAAATCACCATAACTAGTGGTATAAAAGAGAGATAAAAAAATTGAATTCTTTCAAGGTTAATTTCTTTAAAAATATTTTGGAGAATTTATTTTTTTGTCCCCCTTAGAATTTTACAATGGTGAATGATGGATCAAATGCAACCGAAATTTTGTTCTCGTAAGAAATTGAAATCAATTAGTAAATTTAGAACTTCAAAAAAATTGGAAGGATATCTTGATTTTTAATTAACTAAATGACTTGATATAACCTTCTTTTCCTTCTATTTTATTCACAAGTATTATATGATTGCCTCTTCAAGCCCTCGTATTGTCTGAAAATCATATGAAATTACTGTTCAAACATGATAGGAAATTATAGATCATCTCTAAAACTAGCCACGAATAAATAGGTATTTTCAGTATCCACTTCCCCCTTCCCTTACGAAAAAACAATTTTTAAAAACAAAAGGAGGAACAACTCTTCTTTTTCGATTTTGTACTATAATTATAAGATACTAATAAGTAATTAAATAAGAAAACCATTCTTGACAGTTAGTCTTTTAGTTGGAAGTTACAGTGACCTCACTACAAAAATAATAGAGTAACAAAAGAAAGAAAACAAGCAGACATAAAAGAGAAAAGCGAATAATGCATAGATTGCTTGTTACTAAAGGGTAAAATCAAGACAAATGATAAAGGTCCCATGCAATCTGGTAACTTTATATGCGTGATGCTAATGAATTTTTCATAAACAAATATGTGGTAAAGTCAGTTAGCTTCTTTTGGTAGAATATATTACTAAAATATTTGCATATGTGCGTGGATACATAGCATGCCATTCACTAATCATTTCTCCTTTTTCGATATTAAAGGATTCAACCACCTATATAAATGTTTAAATAGCAGAAAATAACATCTCAAATTTAGAACTTTGAACGAATAAATGAGAACAATAAAAGAAAATTGATATTGCAGTGTTCCCACCCAAAATTAAATGGAAAAACAATTTTTGCAGCTAAAGCCCCGAGTGACATAATTACGGTCGGTGACATTTGCTATACACCGCTGGTCCATTTCTCTTATCATTATTGATTTGAAACATATTGTGCTAAAAAGTAAAAAACAAACCAAAAAAATAGAAGTGCGACACAGTTGCTTATATTTTCTAGAAGAGAATCGATCTCTTGCATTAGTTACTAATGGAAATTATCCTCCAATTTCTATCCAAAATAAATAAAAAGAAAAGAAAAACCGGATCAATTTCTTATAGGTAATATTAGATTTAACTTTTTCTTTTTTCCCCTTGAGGATTACGATCTAATCATAAGCAAAAGTTCAGTTCGCATGGATAGGCATAAATATTTAACACTGTAGCTGTTGGAATATTATAATGGAGTATGGGAACGATTATCTATATATGCATGCAGCCCTTAATTATTTCTACACATTACTCCATGTCATGAAACCGTGAATCGCTTTGATGAGTATAATATAAAAATTGCATGCGAAAAAGGAGCTATATTGCGAACTTCTATTTCCTTTAATTAATTAGTTATATAAAATTATACTCTCATTTGTTTGTTCTAAAAAGAATGATATTTTTGTAATATTGGATATTAATCATTTTTATTTGACTTACTATATCCTGAAAGAATTTTAATTGTAATTTTTAAAATTATGACTATATTTAATTTTATGGAAGTAATTTTGTAATATATAAATTGCATTTCAAATGTATTAGGAATTATGTCTAGATATTTAAAAAGTTAAGTACGTTCCTCAAATTGCTATTCTGTTGGCCAAGCTTCTATTTAGTCAAAAGTATTTATTTTTCAAAGTTAAGATATTTTGCGAAGCTTTTAAGAGGAAAAAAAATGCTTTTGAATAAAAGCAAAAACAAATTTTAAGAAGCAGAAAAAATAGTTTCTCTCCAAAAGTATTTGTTTTAAAAACACTTTTGAGAAAAAAATACATTTCTAGAAGCAAATTTTAGAAGCTTGGCCAAACACTAATTACTACTCAAAATTGTTTTCAAATTTATCAGTCAAATACAAATCGATTCTTACCAAAAGTATTTTTAAAAAAAATTCTTTTGAAAATAAACTAATATTAGAAACTTGGCCAATCAAGCCAAAAGTTTTTTTTTCTTTTCATTTTGTGGTTAAATAGGCTAGAAATTCAATTTCACATGGAGTGCTAAACCATATTTTATGCTGAATAAAAGGACAAAAATAGAGAGAAGAAGAAGATATTGTACAGTGTACATATCAGGTAGGAATGCTTGCTTAACGGACAAAAACTAAATATAGTAGTCCTCTCTAGCCTCTATAGGTAAGAAAGAAGAGAGGGATCTCCGTAAAACATGTAATCACGAAGATAAAAGTGACCCTACCTCTTTTGTTTAATCAACGCTAATTTCTCCAGCTTTTCTCTCTTTATAAACTCCTCCATTTCCCTCTCTTTTCTTCCCAACCCCAAATAACTTTATATTTCCTCTCTTCTCTAGATAACCCCACTGAGTTCGTCTAGAGACAAACCTAATTACAGACAAATATGGGCACTCTTTCTCTTTCTTTCCTCTTCCTCTTGTCTTCCCTTCTCCTTCTCCCGTCCATCATTGCCTCCTCCTCTCCCCTATCTAATCCTCAAGCTGTTGTAGATGAAGTACATAGGTACGTACATTTTGGTTGCTTCACATTAGTTTCATTTATTTTAGTCCCACATTGGCCGAGTGTCTATCGGAAACAGCCTCTCTATCTTTATAAGATAGGGATAATGTCTGCGTACACACTACCTTTCTCAGACCCCATTTATGAAATTACACTGGATTTGTTATTGTTATTTTAGTCCCACATTGTATATGTCGAGACAAGACTAACGTTATTTTAGCTAGCACATATTTTCGTATGTATACATAGTTCGAACAGAAAACAATGAGTCATGTAGTTGTAGTACGTTAACAAGATTTAACCCTTTTATTTTTGGGAAAATGCAGGAGTGTAAATGCTTCGAGAAGGAACTTAGGCTATCTATCTTGTGGTACCGGAAATCCTATTGATGATTGCTGGCGTTGTGATCCCAACTGGGAGAAGAACCGCCAACGATTAGCTGATTGCGCCATTGGCTTTGGCAAAAACGCCGTTGGTGGTAGGGATGGTAAAATTTACGTGGTCACCGACTCAGGTGACGACGATCCTGTCAACCCAAAGCCGGGGACTCTCCGTCATGCCGTTATCCAAACTGAACCGTTGTGGATAATTTTTGCTAGGGATATGGTTATTCAATTAAAAGAAGAACTTATTATGAACTCATTCAAAACAATTGATGGTAGAGGTGCGAGTGTACATATTGCGGGCGGTCCATGTATAACAATACAGTACGTGACGAATATTATTATACATGGAATTCATATACATGATTGTAAGCAAGGAGGTAATGCTATGGTGCGGAGCTCCCCATCGCACTACGGGTGGAGAACGGTTTCCGACGGTGATGGAGTGTCGATATTTGGTGGGAGCCATGTTTGGGTGGATCATTGCTCTTTGTCTAACTGCAAAGACGGCTTGATTGACGCCATTATGGGGTCCACAGCTATTACAATTTCTAATAATTTCATGACTCACCATGATAAAGTTATGCTCTTGGGACACAGTGATTCTTATGTTCAAGACAAAAATATGCAAGTTACCATTGCTTTCAATCACTTTGGCGAAGGCCTTGTCCAACGAATGCCAAGGTAAAAATTTAAAAAGAAGTAAATGATCACTATACACAATATTTCTTTTAACGACTTAAGTTTCATACAATGAAATTGTAAAGGAAGGGGAGCCGTGGCGTAACTGGTAAAGTTGTTACCATGTGACCATAGGCTCAAGCCGTGGAAACAGTCTCTTGCAGAAATGCAGGGTAAAATTGCGTACAATAGACTCTTGTGGTCTGGTCCTTCCCTAGACCCCGTACATAACGAGAGCTTAGTGCACTGAACTGCCCTTTATATCTCGAAAGTGTAAAGATTTTTTTATACTAACAATGGATTTTAACTTGCAGTAACAATAGATTTTTACCGTTTTTGCAAATGGTTAATGCGTATAACGAAGATTTATCTGCAACTACTTTATGGCATATGATTATATAAATAATTTTCTAGCCCTGTTTAAGCGGTGCATGTGTTAAGCAAAGGATACATCGAAATTTGGTTGTGTATTCTAAATGACGAAAAAACAGTAGTTAGGATTTACAGTGGGGTATGTTTGTACAGTGTACGTAGAATTTAATGAATTATTGGCGGCCTTTTGGAATATGCAGATGTAGACATGGTTATTTCCATGTGGTGAACAATGACTACACCCATTGGGAAATGTATGCAATTGGTGGAAGTGCTAGTCCCACCATCAATAGCCAAGGGAACAGATTTCTTGCCCCTGATATTAGGTTTAGCAAAGAGGTCAGCATCACTTGTTTTAATAAAGTTCTCCAACTTAGGTTTTACATTTTTTTTGCTTTAGTTTTAAGGTAAAATATTTATTGGAATTGTATATATATGTAGGTAACGAAACACGAGGATGCTCCAGAAAGTGAATGGAAAAATTGGAATTGGAGGACTGAAGGAGATTTAATGTTAAATGGTGCATATTTTACACAATCAGGAGCTGGAGCTAAATCATCAAGTTATGCTAAGGCTTCAAGTTTAAGTGCAAGGCCTTCTTCTTTGGTCAGCAATTTAGTATCTGGTTCTGGTGCTCTCAATTGCCGAAAGGGTTCTCGTTGCTGATTAAGGGAAATTATTTAACTTGGTCTTATTTTTCTAAAGTTTGGTTTTAGACAAAAAATTAAAAATGATATGAGATTTGAAGAAAAACCATGTAATGAAGGAGGAAAATTAAAGAAAGGACAGAAAGTGTAGGTCCTAATATATGACTAGGGGCGTTGCACTTTTATTGTCTTTTTGCCTCCCTTCAATTTTTTTTTTTACCTTTTCCTTTTTTTTTTTTTTAAATTTACTTTTATCCTTTTTGACTTGATTGTCAAATACAACCTCGGTCTGCCATTCTCAGCAGTTGGGACTTTATGCGGTTCTGTTGGTTTTAGAATTTAGAGAAAGGCAAGTTCAGAAGTGTTGATATATACATCAATATATGTATTTATTTTTGAATATTGTGTGACTCTCTCTGTCTATATTATACTATGTATTAGAAGTTGTAGAAGACAATACACAATAATAGTGAGCAATGAACGTAAAAGTAAAGATGAAACACGATTTAAATATTTGTTTATATAATAACTACCCATAACTGCTCATAATAAGTGTTTTGAAAAAATGGAAGAAGTTCAACTACCAATGTTTAACTCCATCAAATTTGTAATTGAAGAGGCACACTAAAAAGCTACATGTGTATCATTTTAACTCCATACAAATTAGGAAACGTATAACTAACTTATGAATTATGCCAAGCAATATTGCAGAATATCATGTCTCTACCTACTTCTTAATTCTTATACAATTTTAATCTTCCAATAGAATAATTAGACCTCAGCTCATAGTCTTTAATTTTGACCTTCCAGTACTGAAACAATTGATGAATTTAGATTTGATCCCAAATGCAATTCCTAATTAGTTTCGTACTTTCGTTTCATCAATTCTATTTAATCCTTGTGCCAACCGTCCGGCATCGGTTTTACTTTGTTGTTGTTTTGGCTTATTTCTGCATTAAGTGGTTGAGTTTTAAATAGAAGTGCGGCTATAAATCAAAAACGGAAAAATGCACACGCATTGAATCTTCTAGTAAGACCTAATATACGAGCACTTATGTGTGGCAACCATTTTTCTTTTGAAAGCTAAGTGGACGTTTGCCAAATAAAAGAATTTAAATACATCATAAAATTAAGGGGAGTCAATGTATAATAAATATACATAAAATAAATTTTTTTATGTAACAATATAGTGTAATTTCCGACAAAAAGTAAAAAAATATTCAAGTGAAAATGATATTGGAAAATTAGAGGTATGTTTGTACATGAATACAATTTGAAGCTATTTTATTTTTTTGTGAGTGATTTAAAGTGAAAATCTTGAAAAACTATATTTTTGGAGTTTTTTTAAAAATTCGAAAAATTTCGAAATTCAACTTCAAATGAAAATTTGAAATTTTTATGGGCAAAAAATGATTCCGTAAAAAGTGAAAAAATTTCGAAAAAAAAGTGAAATTATTTTATTGCGAAACGTGCCCTAAGTAATCAACTATTCAAAACTTTGTCCAAGAGTCAGTTCTGTAGTCTTTTAGAAAATAGTTCAGTAGTAAATAAATTGCCAGGAAATCAGAAAAGCCCAAAAGAAGAATAAAAATAAATGAGTGACAAGGAAAAGAAAAGCAAGGGAACAATAAAAATTTGGAAACCTTTGACCAGATTCAAAATAAAATTTGACCAGTTTCCAAATTTTATGGAGACAAGAGAAACAGAAAATGTCTGAAGCATAGGTTCAGTATCAGATACGACAATCATGTTATGGATACTAGCTAGTCTTCCAAAATAAAGCTCATTGTCACATGCTTTGGCACGCCTCTTCATACCAATATAGTAATAGTTTAAAACAGTGATTGCCTCTCTTCTAATGACACCATAGCAAAATTCTTCATATAGAAATGGCCAAATACTTTGATTGTTTCAAGAAAAAAAGGGAATTCATCTTCCTTTTGGACTAGCTAGTAGTAACAGTTTGTGTAATACTAAAGAAATAAAGTAACAATCAAGATTACAAGGGTTTAGTACACAAACAAAAAGTCAAAAAGAAAAAGGTAAGATAAATAAAAAAAGAGAAGTGAAAGTGGGGTATTCAATTTTCCCACCACCTTAGAGAAGAAACTTTACTTCGAACAACAAGGTTGATAAATAGCGTGGAAAATAAAGTTTGAACCACTTGCTTTCTGGCAAAACAGTAAATCAAAGTCTACCCTCCGTTTTTACAATTTGTTTTGCTTTTCGTGGTTTTCTTTTGCCATCCGTAATTAATGCAACAAATTAAGGCCAACATTATATATGTACTAGGGATTTGGTTTACTTGCTTTCGAAATGTGAAAAAAATAATGGAACCTAATATGATTCAACCATGTGGAAGACGACAAAGCAAGAAAAATATTCACCTAACTGGGAAACAACTAAGGATTAGATAAACTATTGACGATCATGAAGATATTGCCCGCTAAAAAGCATGGAGCGTATTGAGTTAGGGGTAGTTTAGTGTACTAAGGTGAGGGGTTGTTAAGTAATTTCACGTTTCTCCTCCACTAACTAATATCGGAAGTGGTTATTGTATATGTCCGAATTTGGTAACGACGACAACAGATAAGCAGAACATAGGACGGGGTTGACCACGACACAGAGACAAAACGGCCGTCGTAATGAAGGCAGACGACTAGAAGCAGGTAGCTGATATAGGATAGTAACGGTAGCTTAAACACAGAAATAGATAAGAAGAATATTCCTTTGGATATTCTTTTATGTTGTACTTTTTAGGGATTTTTGGGAATGTCCCTTATAAATAGAGATGGGGAACAAATGTGGATTTGCCTTTTTGAGAACTGAGACATATTGTAAAGTTGAGAGAATAATATACGAAAGAGTTGTCTTATTCTTTTTATTCAAGCACATGTTGTTCAATCTTTATCCACAAATCTCAAGATCCCATAACTCAGATTTATTACTTACCTTTCCACGTCGTCAGAGAAAGGAAACACCCAATCGCACAATCATTGGGTGACGATTCCTTTACACTATAACCCTCATCATTCTCGCATTTATTATACATTTATGATATTACATATCTTGTCAATTATAGCATATTAAATTCGTTATTTAATATTCCTAACCCCAATTCGTCATACAAGAACATTGCTTTACTTAGTCTAGAATTTATTAAGTTCAACTGAGATTCACCCTTTTAATTTATTCTTGATTGGTTTAGTAATTATTTGCTAAAACAATTTGGCACCGTCTGTGGGGAGCTTTTTAGTTGAAACTATAGTTCTTTCTAGATCATAAAAAAAAGAAAGAAAGAAAGACATCTCTTCCTCGTTTGTACAAACTAACATTGGCAGGAAAAGAAGACGCGAGGTTGAAAATGATAGTAGGTGTCACTACCAACATCTTGAACACCATCAACGAAGATGGCAGGGAAGACAACGAGAACGCGACACCAAATGCTTGTTCAGGCGGAGCGTTTCACCTCCCCCTCGCGAAAGCGTAACAGCTTTACGCGAAAGAGGAGCCTCCACGTCAATAATTGAGGAAGCACCACCGGCAGTGAATAAACTACTGGAAGAGTGGCTGACAAGTACTCTAAACAACATACTCGACAAACCCATTAAAAGGGAGAACAGAAACACCGCACAAGTAGACATCACAAACAACAACTGGCGAACAGCCCATCCCCCAAACAGGTAACACTTACACCACTGCTGATGCGGGTGATGATGCACTCGCAGCCATTCAAAAGAAAATGGAAGATATGGAAAACGAAAACAAGGCACTCCGTGACCAGATGAAGGAGCATCAAGAAAGGGTCGACAAGATACCAGGCGCCCCAAAGTTGCTACTGAAACAAGACGTTGGTCGATTCGTCGAACAACCGTACAGCGAGGAAGCAACTCCCCATGCCATTCCCAAAACCTTCAAAATGCCACCATACTTGAAAATATACGATGGCACTACAGACCCAGAAGACCATATCGTCCACTACGCCATAACGGTGAAGGGAAACGATCTTTTGAAGGAGCAAGTTCCATCGGTGCTACTGAAAAAGTTCGGTGAAACCCTAACAGGGGGAGCCCTAACCCGGTACTCACAACTGCCGGCACGGTCAATAGCAACATTCGAGGAAATGGCCGACAAGTTTGTTACCGCTCATGCAGGGGCTAAAAAGGCGGAAGCCAGGGTGAATGACATATTTGCCGTGAGGCAATCGCCTGGCGAGGGACTCAGGGACTTCCTCGTCCATTTTAACAGGGTGAAAATGAGCCTACCAAATGTATCAGAAGGGATGACGGTAGTAGCCTTCCAGAACGGGTTGAGCAGGAGCGGGTCGAGAGCAACCAGAAAACTATTAAGCAGGATCATGAAATACCCCCCCACCACTTGGGAAGAAATCCACAATGCCTATTGCGCCGAGGTGAGAGCCGACGAGGACGATCTCAATGGTCCGACCCAACGGCTGACGTCAGTTCAAGCAGAATTGAGGAAAGATCGTAGTAACGACGGTCGAAGGGATCAGTCGGGTCCCCATCTCTACCGAGAAAGATATCAGCCCTACATCCAAACAGCCGTCCCACCACCTCCTCGGCACACAGAAGGGCTTCCCAGGCCGCACACCGGGACTCAGTGATACGAAAGAGGTATGCCTCCGCTCTTATCTGCTCACAATTTTTGTGTCTCCCCTTTAGAAATAGTGTATACACTAGAGAAGCTCGGCACGAAGGTGAAATGGCCGCAAAAAATGAAGTCTGACCTGAATGCTCGGAAGTCGGACGCCCTCTGTGAATTTCACCAGGAGCGGGTTAACAAAATCGAGGACTGCATAGGTCTGCGGCAAGAGGTAGTAAGAATGCTGAACCAAGAGCACCTGTAAATTAATGAGCGACCGGGGACGAGCCAACTTCGGTCGCGGACGTGAACAGCACCAGGGGCCTCTAAAGCCACCCTCCACTGCTCGTACTGTCCAAATGATCGTCAGCGGAGGCGACGAGGCAGCGATCAACTATGTGGAATTCACCACTGCACACAAACTCAAGCGGTCGATCACCCACGAACGGTGTGATGACCTCAAAGACAGTAGCATCTTCGATAAGCCTGATACCGACAGTTTGACTTTCCCTCACTTCGATGCTCTTGTTATTACATTACGTATTTCAGATACTGATGTGAAAATAATAATGGTAGACGACGGAAGTGGCGCGTGTATTATCCATCCTCGAGTCCTTGTACAGATGCGATTCGAGGATAAGATAATACCGCATTACATAACACTAACGGGTTTTAATAATGCAGTTGAGCGAACTTCTGGAGAAATAACGCTACCAACCTAGAAACAACATTTCATATCATGGACCAAGATATACCCTACAACGCCATCATAAGACGACCATGGATACACGCCATGAGGG